TACGCTTGTACACAGCAGGCTCGGTAGCAAGGACCGAAGGTGACAAGGAAACAGGAAGATTGTGGTGGATGGATGAATCGTCAACATATACGCTCCCAACAACGCTGTGGAACAAGCATCTTTCATGCTGACGGTGGGACAAATAACCACACCCCTTTCCCCTTGCGTCATAGCAGGAGACTGGAACCCGACTCTAGACCCAGGCAATGACAGAATCTCCAGAGCCGCTTCTCAACAATCCTCCCAGCAAGCAGCCCCAATCATCCAACTAATGATGGATCAGTCTGATAGACCCATTCCATACGCTTCACCCAGATGCTAAGGCTTTCTCCCTGGTAAAGAAGAACCATGCTCACCACACAACCTTTTCTAGAATCGACTACTTCCTAACCTCCGAATCTATGATGGGGGCTATCAAGGAAGCCGATATTCTGGCACTCCCCCTCTATGCAGGACTGGATCACAGGCCCATCGAATTAATCATATGATTCGAACAATATGATACAAAAGGAGCCAGCTTCCACAAACTTAAAAACTCCCTACTCCTAAGTCATACCTTCAGGGAGAGGACACAAGAGTGTTGGCTTAATCCTAGAGGTATGCTCTTGGATGGTCAAGATAGATGAAAATGGTTTCAAGAGAGTTATCTCTTACTATCCTAGTCAATCGCTTGACCATCTCGAAAACTCGCTAATGACCGCAGATAGAGGAAGCAGTATCTTGAAATGGCTATGAAGATTGCTGAGACCAGTCTCTCAAGCGACCCCTACTCGCCGCTATACACAGCCACCCTAGAACAATCAAGGGAGGAGCTGTCACTATGGAGAATGTGGGAACTGAGAGGGCTTCAGGTAAGGGCAAGAATGACCAACTGCGAGTTAAACGAATCAATGAGCAAACAATGCTTTGCAATAATAAAATCAAACAGCAGGACCAACACGATAGGTGGTCTGAAAGAACTATCAGATGAACAACCCATTAGAACAGATAGCGAGGATATGCTACAAATAGCTAAACGGTTCTATCAGGAGCTTTATCAGAAAAAAACCAGTTTCCTCCCCTCTAAGCAGTAAGAGAAGCAAGGGCCAAAATGCTCCACTACTTAGACAAAACAATCACAACAGAGCAAGCAGCAGTGCTAGACAAACCAATCACCCCAGAGGAACTAAAAGTAGCACTGCAAATCATGAACAATAACAAGTCCGCAGGCATAGATAGTCTTACCAAAGAATTATGAGTCCAATTCTAGCCTGTGTTGGGGAAAGACCTATTGCAGTTTTACGAAGATAGCTGGGAAAAGGGAGGCATGGGAGAACTTTTAAGCAGTAGCGTGGTGACCCTCCTCTACAAAAAGGTTGAGCGCGAAAATATTTGAAATTACAGACCAATTTCCCTCCTCACCGTTCCATACAAGATACTAGCAAAAGCACTAGCCCTCAAAATTCTGGATCTCGCAGACAAGTGCTTCCACATAGATCAAGCTGGATTCATCCCAGGCAGGTATATTTTAGACAATGTCCTCACGCTGAATGAGGCCTCCTGAAAAGTAAGGGAAAAGAGATTAAATACAACAATCCTGTTCTTTGATTTTGAGAAGGCCTACGAGCACCTCATTTTCTCATCAGCCTCCCCCTGGGTTCCCCTAGCTTTGGCACAAATCGCGACCCTGGCCCCAGAGGCCCCACCCGATACTAACTCGTTGGTGTGGCTTGAAGAAAGGAATTGGAGGCTACCAAGGAAGTACAGGAACGGGGACCCCACAGACGAGCAGTGGCTGCTCCTACGAACATGGAGGAAATTGCCCCCTCCTCATCGATCGGCACCAGAAAGGTGGGAGGAAATATTCATACAGCCCCTGTTTGGTAACAGACTAATTATGGACCCCATCGGCCGCGTGAGGTGTAGTTCGGACCCCCCATGGAAGGGTTGGGTGAAACGCGGGGCCCGGAGGGTGGGTGACCTTTGGGACATGGGCATGGGGGAGTGGAAGAGCGCAAAGAGGATGTGTAGATGGCTGTGGTATTGCCACTTCACAAAATCTGCACTTGATGAGCTCATTGAAAGCCTCCATTGGTATAACATCCTTCGGAGGGGCCCTCACTTGGAAGAAGGAGACTGGGTAGGGCTACCTGGCCATGAAAAACAAATAGGGCTAGTGCACCTGGTAGAGCAAACGCAAGTCCTGATCGAAGGTTTCTCCATTCAGGAGAATGGTCAACTACGGGGGAGCCGACAAAAGGAAGTATATCGTGTCAGAGTGATTGACAAGGGAAGAGGTTGGAGGGCCTACCGGCCAATGACCCCAATTGAGGACCTTCCCTTCGATCCCCACGAGTGGCGTTGGTCCCAGAAAGACCTGTCAGGCTGAAGAAGGGAAGGGAAGGTGAAGACGATAGCACTAGCCAACCTAAAAACCAAGTCGGTATACCGAATGCTCAGATCCAAACGCAGACTGCGAGACATAGTAGAAGACAGATGGTATCGTCACCTCAACATAGATTGTGGTCTGCTCAAACCCATGAAGTGGTTTGGGGAATATGCAGTGGCAGATTGCGCACCGGTGCCTATCGACCAACGATTGGCTGATAGAGCACACACAATTGGAGCAACAGGGGCGGGCACTACCATGGTGCCACAGATGTCTTCAGTGCTACCCCGAAAAAAAGCGCTCCGAGACGATCGAGCACATTTTCCTTCAGTGCCCTGCGGCCGTATTACTATGGAGGTGGTGGGACAGGATTTGCCGAACTCATTATGGCCATGGGACTGGAGGGCCATACTTTTGGGACACTACCCCCAGATTCGAGAAAACACATTCGAAGAAAACATGTTTCGCCTGGGTAGACGCGTCGTCCTATGGGTAATATGGTGGAGAAGGTGCATTCTGGAAATTGAGGGAGCAAGGGTGGAAGATGGGGAGGTCACAAAGCAACTACGATTATTAGTTCAATATGAGATCACAGCCCAATGGCGGGCGACTAAGGCAAAGCTGAACCAAGTACATACCAGGGGTGATATCAATAGAATCATCTCTCAGTTCTGTGAGGACTGGTTGGGAGGGAAGAGGGAGGGATGGGTGGCAAAGGTGAGTTGGGAGGGTGATGGGCAACCGGGACACCAACAGGAACATCGACAGGAGGAGGTGGGACCGCAAGGGGGGCAACAGGCAGAGATTAAAAGGGACTATCATCTGCATTTTCATGAGTGGACAAAGGTCGATCCCAGGGACCCGTTACGACCAGCCCAGGAGTTTACAGACCCCTTCCCCCCCCACCCGTTGTCCTTGGAGGAAATACCACCTGACTCTACCTAAGTACCCAAGCTTCCTGCTCATCCATCCGGCGCCATCTACAGGGAAGATGAGCATCTCCCGGGATTTCTGCTGGAACGACAATGAAGCCTCAAAGAGAATGCCAGAGCAGATATGAGGAAGCACAGTGAAAGCACAGTGAGAGAGTAGGGCCAGGCGAGGAAATGGACGGAGGCTCCCACTGGTGCCCCCCAGTGGCTCCTTCCATTTTCCTGAGCCAGACCGCACGCCAGGAGGGGCAGGACGCTGGACCAGGTTTCCAGCAACAGGGCCAGCTTTCTCGTTTTCTCATTTTATCCATGTTCTTCCAAAGGACGCTGAGCCTGGTTCTCAGCAGAAAAGATGTATTCAAGGGACGCTGGACCCAGTTTCCAGCAGGTGATGCTCCCCACCAATAGATGAAGCGGCCCACCAGGCAAAGCCTCAATTCCGGTGGTTCTCTTACCACCACTGGGATAGAGGCCTTGCACAAGGGCCTTAAAAAAACAAAACAAAAAAAGGTCAATTGGCCATTCCTCAACACAAGTATGGAGAAAATGGGTGTGGGACACAACTTTAGGAAGTGGGTCAGGATCTTCTACAACAACACCTCAGGCTGCGTGCAAGTCAACGGCCTCTGTCCGTACGATACCAAATTTCCCGTCAGTCCAGCAGGGAGACCCTCTAGCCCCCCCAATCTTCCTATTTGTAATGAAAGCAATTGCCTCCTTTCTGCGCAAAGACGCCTCAATCCAACGACTACCGGAACTCGACACGGGCACACCCATCATATTCAATTTACAACAGCAATAATGTTCGTTGATGATCTCACTGTCTGATGCTCACTGTCTAGGGCCTGTAGCGGACGATATCAGACCTGCAATGATGTTTCCCTCCGAAAGGAGGAAGGTACTGGATGCTTGGGAGGCAGAGCGGGCTTGAAAGTCACCGCCCAAGGAGGCAAGCTGCCCGGTATATATCCAGGAGGAGTGAATCGCTCCTCCACATTTTGTGGTGTGCAAGTTTGACATTATAGATGCTGGAGCGAGCGCTTGGCCAGTCCAACGCTGGGGGAGGAAGAAGGAGACCTGGCCTCCATCTCCAGCTATGGTGGAGTGGACCGGGGAGGAGGAAGAAGGTGGGCTAGGAGGAGAGTGACGGGGGTACTTACCTGGCTATGGTGGACGGCATCTTCATTTTCTTGGTCGGCGCTGCACCTAGAAGGCCCCAGTAGGGGTGTGCTGCTTCGAGGAAGACTTTAGGGAAGAGTTAGGCATGGCGTCCATATTAGAGGGGACGTATCAGCTTTGCGTTGTCCTTTGAACATCAGGGCAAGGCCCCACCAGTCCGCCATAGCCACCTATCATTGAGAGGAGGTAGGTGTAGGTCGTGGCTATGGTGGACCTCACATGTTCCTGGCAGTAAGGAGGAGATTCAGATTCGGGTTCTGATTCATTCTTTCATTGTTATTATTATTATTTATTGTATTGAAGAGTTTGGTCAAGATAAGGAGGCTGAAGGTGATGGCGAGTTGGAGGGGGATTTGACACTGGTCTTTGCTGGCGTACATCTCCTTCCATTCTTTATTCTTCTACTTCATTTGTCTGTTTGTCTTTCCAAGTTCTTTCATTTCAGTTGCAATTGAATGGCATGATTTTTCTTTGTGTCATTGCACTTCAAAATACCCAGGATCATAAGTATAAGATCCTACCTCTTCCACAGCTTTACGCTCTCGTTCGTGCTCCTCCTGTGTCTCTTTTTGCCTCTTTACTCTCTCCTCCATCTGCTCTTCCTGCTGGCGCCGCACTGCAATCTGAAGATGACAGGAAAACCATCGAAAGGAAAGGGGGGCAAGGAGAAGATAGAGCTAGCTTTACGATAGAGCTAGCTTTACGCTCTCTCCGCACTGCAATCTGAAGTCTCCGTAAATGTTTCGAAGCTGTGAAAAATAGTTTACAACCATTGCATGTTAAGGTCACTTCGCGTTCAAGCGCGTTTATGTGCATTTGTCACATTCAGTGACCGCTTCTCATGAGTAAGGGGGTACTCGTGCTAGCTCTATCTTAAATGTATCTGACCACGTTCACGGCTGCACCTGGATGCAGTCATGTCCTCCCCTGATGATGGACATTGACGGTGTGGCAGATACATGTGAGGTTTTCCTTTTTTTATTTAAAAAATTGAACTACCACTGAGGGCATACTCACACTAGGACTATTTTACTTATTTATGGGCGGAGTTATGGTCAGAAGCATCCAGGTCCAGCCATAAATGTAGTCAGAATCCGTCAGATACATTTAAAATAGAGCTATTGTGAGTATGCCCCGAGGGGGTTTCCAGATTGGTATTTCAACAAGACACCTTCTTGTGTTTCAAAGTGTGTCAACGACAAGTGGGATAAATCGGTGTGCTGGTTTACAAATCGGAAGATAGGCTAAGGAATTGTAAAGGCATTCATCCCCTGAAACAACCTCTTTTGGGGGTCGTTGCAGGTACCCGTCACATTTAGGACTGATAATTTTTTTTTGTTGCTACCAGGGTTGCCGGCGTTCGGGACGGGCCGAACACCCGAACCCGAACGCCCGAACGTTTGGGACCCCCTCTCGACGCGTTCGGACGTTCGGCCGAACGCGCGTTCGGACGTTCGGCCGAACGCGGAACCAAAAAACAAAACAAAACAAAAAAAAAAAACAAGTTTCCAAAAATTCTGAAAAAAAAACTATGTCATGCAGAAGAATAAACTAAACAACATTTGCCTCAACAGTACATCCAAATTCCTTACCAAATTTGAAATAAAAATGAAATACGAAAAATAAATAATATTAATGAAAATARGAAAAAATAAAACGAGAATGAAATTATTGCGTGGGCGAGCAAGTTTTTGACACCGCCATCTTTGGCGATTTTTCGTTTTTTTTTGGCTTTGTCAAATGCCATGAAATTTTATACATATGTATCTTACATCATAGAGAACCTACAAATAAAGTTTGAAAAAATAATA